CGGGAGATCTTTTTTGGATGTTAGGATGCTAAATCCACTCATACGTGTCCATGTTCCTAAGATCAGTCATGGTTTTAATTCAGCTTCCACTCTATAAGTTGGAAAGTACAAATGGAGAGACCACAAACTTCCTGGATATATGTCTTCCAATCCCCAAATGCAAGAGATCAAAATGTTTCAGAGGCTGAGCAGGTGAGAGTGCTATTATGTGGCTCTCACCTGACAACTGCAGCTACTGACACTGACCTCCTATATTATATTTGACTTTTCATCGAAAGGATTCAAAAGAGAGAAAACCTTGGCTTTGGGGGAATGTTGAACTAATAATGTGGAAGATGATAGGACAGAGAAAGAGAATTAATAATCCTTAATAACTGAGGAACATCAGGAGTGTACAAGAGGAAGTGTTGACTTCACTTGGATGTGCACATTTGCAGACACTACTGCTATCTATTATGGCTAACAGAACGGTACAGAGTATTATTTCTACTGTCCCATGAATACTTTCTCAGCTGTAAAGTGGTATTCTTCTCATTGATACACGTGCCATTTGAAATGCAATATATGGCTACATACTATTACAAGAAATTCAGCAACAGAGTAAAACAGACAAGGAATAAGTTTATAACAGATACTGGACTCCTTCAGAGCCAACTCTCTTGTGGATGCAGTGTTGCAAACCTCAAACTCATACTCCTGAACACCAAATGACCCAGATCACAATGCAGGATCCACTATGTATCTAATGTCAGTATGACATTGTGATGGGGGGGCTCACACCTGGAAGCTCGGTGCAGCAGCGCAATTATATCTCTACCTCTACCTCAGTTTCCCCTAGTGGGATTCAATAAATCCAACATCGCTTATGTATATTTCATAGACTTCATAAACTTTAAGGCCAGAAGGGACCATTATGATCAACTAATCTTAACCTCTGCATAACACAGGCAAGAGAATTTCTCCTACTGGTTCCTGCATCCAGCCCAATAACTTGTGGTTGAACTAGATGGAGTAAATTGTCTAGAAAGATACCACTCTTGATCTAAAAACTCCATGTGATGAAGAGTGTATTTCAAGATTGGTGTGGGATGGAATCCAAAGACAGACATTGGAAAGGTATGTTTCTATAGCCTCATAAGAAGATTCTTTAGGCCCCCTGAATTGAACTTAATGGTGTGGAGGAGACATGCAGATGCAAATGACTCTGGATCGTAGGTGGTTAAAAGCACATATTGTTAAAGGAAGATGGATGCTAATTTAAACAAATATTTTGCAGCAATATACATGCAAGACGGTTTGTGTGACAAGCAGTTTTGCATAAAGCATAGCTGAGTGGCTGCACCCTCTCAAAGCGTGGCGTGAGCTGACCACAACAGATGCCTTGCTATGTGTTGAGCCAATCTGAAAACGCTGCCAACTACTATTTTTTTAATATAAGGATTGTTTGCTTTTCCCTCTTTAATTTTTTTCTTTCTACAAGAGACAAGATTTCCTTTTCCAGTTATGGGTAATGATATTAATAACACATATTGATAAGTATTAATAATCACAGGACTGGAAGGGACCTCGAGTGGTCTTCTAGTTCAGTCCCCTGGACTGAGGCAGGATGAAGTATTGTCTAGACCATCCCTGACAGGTGTTTGTCTAACTTGTTCTTAAAAACCTCCAATGACGGAGACTCCACAACCTCCCTAGGTGTTTTGGTCCAGTGCTTAACCACCCTGACAGGAAGCTTTTCCTAATGTTCAACCTAAATCTCCCTTGCCACAATTTAAGCCCATTGCTCCTTGTCCTATCCTCAGTGGTTAAGAAGAACAATTTGTCAATCTCCTCTTTATAATTACCTTTTGTGTACTTGAAGACTGTTATTATATCCCCCTTTAGTTTTCTCATTTCCAGACAAAACACACATAGTTTTTTCAATCTTTCCGCATAGGTCATGTTTTTAAGACGTTTAATCATTTTTGTTGCTCTCCTCTGGACTTTTGACAATTTTTTCACATCTTTCCCAAAGTGTGGTGCCCAGAACTTGACACAATACTCCCGCTGAGGCCTTACTAGTGCTGAGTAGAGGAGAAGAATTACTTCTCGTGTCTTGCTTACAACACTCCTCTATTACATCCCGGAATGATGTTTGACTTTTTGCAACAATATTCCATTGTTGACTCATATTTAGTTTCTGATTCACTATAAACCCCAGGCTCTTTTCTGCAGTACTCCTTCCCATGCAGTCATTTCCCATTTTTTATTTATGCAATTGACTATTCCTTCCTAAGTGTAGTGCTTTGCATTTGTCCTCATTGAATTTCATCCTATTTAATTCAGAACATTTCTCCAGTTTGTCAAGATCATTTTGAATTCTAATCCTGTCCTCCAAAGGGCTTGCAACCCCTCCCAGCTTGGCATCATCAGCAAACTTTCCAAATGTACTTTCTATGGTGCACCTCAGGGGTCCAGTTTATTTAATCCAAAGGTGGAATGTTGTACAACTAGGCTGCCACCCCAGCATCTCTAGCTGGAGAGGAAGGGGCTGAGTTAACTTTAGTCCATGAACCCCACTTATGTCCAGGCCCCTTACTAAAGAGGCCCTCTTTGCCTGGGACCATCTTCTGGAGCCAGGGCCTCTTGTCTTCAGCTGAGGAAGGGTCTCTCCTCTTGGATTAAGGTCCCTACAGAGATCAAACCACAACAACCCTTCCTTGGAAAAGCATATAATTCCCCTGATCTGAGCTTCTGTTACTACCTGGTGAACTCCTTCCATAGGGACCAGGCTTCACTGAGGCTTGGCATTCATAGATCCTCCACTTTGGAGTCTCTGCCACCTAGGAGTATTATACTTTGGTTTCCTTCCCTGGTGAGCCTCTTACCAGGTCCCCCCCGAGAAGACCTCCCTTTAGGAACTTCCTCTTTCTACATTCTAGGGACAGTTCCTTTTCACAGGAACCTCTGTTCTCTAGCCACTGGGAGTAGGTTCCTTTTATTATTGTTCCTTGACTTTAGCAAAGCTTTTGACACGGTCTCCCACAGTATTCTTGCCAGCAAGTTAAAGAAGTATGGGCTGGATGAATGGACTATAAAGTGGATAGAAAGTTGGCTAGATTGTCAGGCTCAACGGGTAGTGATCAATGGCTGAATGTCTAGTTGGCAGCCGGTATCAAGTGGAGTGCCCCAAGGGTCGGTCATCGGGCCAGTTTTGTTCAATATCTTCATAAATGATCTGAGGATGGTGTGGATTGCACCCTCAGGAAGTTTGCAGATGACACTAAACTGGGAGGAGAGGTAGATACGCTGGAGGGTAGGGATAGGATACAGAGGGCCCTAGACAAATTAGAGGATTGGGCCAAAAGAAATCTGATGAGGTTCAACAAGGACAAGTGCAGAGTCCTGCACTTAGGACGGAAGAATCCCATGCACCGCTACAGACTAGGGACCAAATGGCTAGGCAGCAGTTCTGCAGAAAAGGACCTAGGGGTTACAGTGGACAAGAAGCTGGATATGAGTCAACAGTGTGCCCTTGTTGCCAAGAAGGCCAATGGCATTTTGGGATGTATAAGTTGGGGCATTGCCAGCAGATCGAGGGATGTGATCGTTCCCCTCTATTCGACATTGGTGAGGCCTCATCTGGAGTATTGTGTCCAGTTTTGGGCCCCACACTACAAGAAGGATGTGGAAAAATTGGAAAACGTCCAGCGGAGGGCAACAAAATGATTAGGGGACTGGAACACATGACTTATGAGAGAGGCTGAGGGAACTGGGATTGTTTAGTCTGCGGAAGAGAAGAATGAGGGGGGATTTGATAGCTGCTTTCAACTACCTGAAAGGGAGTTCCAAAGAGGATGGATCTAGACTGTTCTCAGGGGTAGCAGATGACAGAACAAGAAGTAATGGTCTCAAGTTGCAGTGGGGGTGGTTTAGGTTGGATATTAGGAAAAACTTTTTCACTAGGAGGGTGGTGAAGCACTGAAATGCGTTACCGAGGGAGGTGGTGAATCTCCTTCCTTAGAAGTTTTTAAGGTCAGGCTTGACAAAGCCCTGGCTGGGATGATTTAGTTGGGGATTGGTCCTGCTTTGACCAGGGGGTTGGAGTAGATGACCTACTGAGGTCCCTTCCAACCCTGATATTCTATGATTCTATGGTTATGCCCAAGTTCTTCCCTGTCTAATTATCTGCCTCCCAGCTACTCAGTTAATTAGTCCCAGGTGATCCCTTCCTGAGTTGCCTCATTTCCCCTTGTGAAGCCTACCAGAGGTAGGCTGAGCCCTTGACCTCTTCAGAGGGGCCACCTATCCTCTGACGGACATGACAAATGAGTCTTATGCTACAGTAATCATCAGGACATCCCACAGCTACCTAGAGTCCCCCATAGAGCATTAAACCGCCTGTACCAAGCTCAGCACAGGCAAAGGTGCAAGTTAAATTGCCTTGAGAAGCTGGAACTTGCTCACTTTTTGGGCCTGCTCTTGGAGGGGATCATACTGAGTGAGGTATGGAGCCCTGACCACACATTCTTTTAAGAAGGCCATACCCACTTCTTCTACAGCACATATGAAATTGAGCTTCCCTAGGAACATAAAACAGCTTCTTTTTTTTTTTAAGATAACTTAGAACGTAAAGATTATTGGCAACTTTTATATCATGTACTATATATTTGACAACTTTTTTTCTCAAATGAGCAACATTCACCAGATCAGACATACAAGTGCTGTGCATTTGAAAATGATTCCTGTTACTCAATATCACCTAGATTAGGCACTATAATGTCTACTTTGCCATCTCCAACCACATACACTAAAAAACAAAATAATTTCATAATAAATATACACTGTAGTTTAACATGAAAATTCTTTCTCCACAGGACATCTAAATGGCAAAATGTATGTGATAATTTCCCCAAAGTCTACATTTATCATATTACATCATGATATCAACATTTACACTAAATAGTAGTGAACATCACTTTAAAATGACATTATTACAGTCAGTGTGCACTATTTCCTACCTTTACGGATTGGTCTCTCCAACATGAAATGAGTTTCACCAGTGAAACATTCCCAGAATCAAGGAAATGGAATCCATTTTTATCTGAAAATATACAAAATATTCTTTATGAGCTCACAATAAAATACACATAAATAACACACATGAAATTTCAACTGGTCTTGCAGTATACAGTTTTAAATTTTGTAATGTTCAGCTACATATCTGAAACAGAATCATTTGTCATAATTTGTTTTCATTTTATCCACAGACATATCAATGTAAGATATTTATATCATGTACTATATATAATTACATTAGAGTTATTTATATTTGTCCCCTAACCCTAAATCTAATGGGTAAATTTTATTTATAACGGGTTAGTTCATGGTGTCTATTAGAGCTCAGTGAAACTTGGTGGCTTCTTTTTGCAGAGGGTTGTGCAAACATTTTATTCTTTTTGAGTCAGTTTGCCAGTTCCCAAATAAGTCTTTCCCCATTTCAGAACTGATACTGTGCACTAGCTTTCACCAAGATCGTTCAAATAAGTCTCTCCTGATGTTTCTAGGGTAAGTCATGCTTAAGCTAAGACAAGGCAAAAAAAAGCTTTAGGAGAATATTCAAATATGCTTAACTATTTTTAATGAAGTCTCATATTTCAAAAAGAAGCTTGTTACACTGAACTCAAATTCCAGCAAACAACTCACCCATGGCTACAGCTATCACAGATATTTAGTAAGTGAAGTGGAAATTTTCTTTGAGTATTTTAAGATGAAGGAAAAGCAGGCTTACAATATAAAAGCAAGCTTGAACTTTTAACTATGGAGAGGCTCCAGCCTCCTGCATGCAGTGAATTTCATTTCAATTTAATGCAATGAAAGCTGTGACGAAAGGGTCCGCAACGGAGTATACTTACAAAGTGGGGTGGCCTAATTATTGCAATATTTTTGGAATTTCTGCACTCATATCACTCACGTGCTAAACATATATGAAATATAAAGCAACAGTTTATTTAATCGGGAAAATGGGCCAGATCCTCAACAGATGCAAACTGGCATCATTCCATTGACTTTAATTGGAGCTAAAACAATTTACACTAGTTGAGGATCTGGCTCAATATTGTTACAAGCTGACTATGATGTTCAGTGTTGTTACAGAAAAAGTTTCAAAATCATGCTATGGTTCAAAGGTGGGATTTTCTTTCCATAAATACATTTTATGCTTCTATCACATTGTCTTCTTTGGTATAATTGAAGATGTAATACTGCTATAGAAACTAAAAGGCCAGTTTTCTCCTGTACTCAAGCTGATGTCAGATTGTCTGACCTCTAGTAGCAGCCGAGGCGAATTACTGATGTATTCTAATCATGGGTATTGCATTTTATGGAAACCAGTTTTAATGTTTGACCTAGAAACATGTAGACAAGTGCTTAGTGTATAATAAGTCTAAAAATTAATACAAATAAAGTTAAAATAAAATATGCAAAGGAGAATAGAAATATTTTCTGATTATATTTTAAATTAGATTTAGATGATGAGTCCATGCGGAGGAGAGACACAACAATAAGGCCATTCCAACTGGCAGGCTCTACTATGGAGAAAGGGAGCTATTTTAAAGTGGCTGCTGAAATGAGTTTGCTGGAGGTTATGGTAATGTTTCTTTCCACATGAGAAAAGGCAGGTGGCAACACATGGCAGGGGAGGGAAGGGAAGAGGGGGTATTGCATTAATCAAGGCTAAAGGTATGGATAAAGTTATGGATAAAGATTTCAGCAAAGATGGAGGAGACGTATGGATATTCATATTTTACTAAATTTGCTCCTTACAGTGCTGAAATATTCAAGAACAATATAAGTATAAAAGAATAATAATCCACCTCTTAGGGTTAAACCCGTCCATCCTTTGTAAGGTATGTGCTACACAGATAATCTCAGACTGGTCTAAATTGTGCATCTGACTTCTCAGATGATTTTCAGAGCAAATGCATGGTCATGAACTGGTAGGACTTTCTTGTTTAATCCAGTTCTTCCTCATTTGAAATGTAACAGCCAATGCCATTCATCAGCTGCTTATCCCAATATTTGGCTAATAAGCTTTGCTGCTAAATAAATATGTTGTTTAGAGTAAGTGGGTTGCATCAGCCTTTAAAGTAACATGACAATCCCTGAATATTAATGCTCAGTAAATGCTCTGATTACAGCCCTGAATTGTATATGGTAGTATTAAAATATTGTCAGAGACCTAAAGTATCCTGATAAAACAATACATTATCATCCACATTTAAAAAAGGTTGGATTGCTGCAGTGCAGTTTGTGGGGTTTACAGAATTATTCAGATGCTTTGTGGAGAAGACTGCAAAATTTGTGGTGTGAATTAGCACAATCTGATTTGGTTCACTGTGCCTTTCAGTTGATGGCTGTGTAAGTACAATTGCACTTGTACTGTGTAAGTCCTTTTATAATATATAAAAGACAGAGACTGACAAAAGCAATTGTACAGTACTTACACAGCCATCCATCCATATATCTATAGGGAAAGAAAGAAAAGAAAGACCATGTAATGCAGTTTTACAGCATGAAAGAAATGGCACAAGAGGTTATATTTTTATTAACTGATTTGACACAAACAATGTCAAATGCAGAGAATATTAAAAATGCCAAAAATGAGAGAGAAGCAAAAATGAGAATATCACAGTAAAACTGTTCTTTTCCATTTTTAAATTGAGTTTTCAATGTTTTTTCATGTAGTGCTGGTCAGGTGAATTTTCTTTTTGATCTTTTCCTTGTCTTTTTCTATCATTTTGCTAACTTTGTTACATTGATCATCAAAGCTCTATTGTAGGTTAATTTTGGCTATAGCTGCTGACTGGCGTCATGAGGTAGTTTAAGGGAATGTTAAAATTATAATAGAGGAAGGAAATTCCTGCAAACTTCACTTGACACAGTTGGGGAGTTAATATAAAGAAGTTGTAATTTCAGGGAAAACAAGTAATAGAAAAATAATGATAACATTTACAGTTTCACATGGGCCAAGTCCTGAAGTCCTTAATCAGTTCACATTCTGTCCTGGTTCAGGCAAAGCTTCTATTCACTCAAGTGAGGGCTTTATTTGAATAAGGACTAAAGATTTGGCCCTATTTATACAGATATAAGGCCAAGATGACATAGTGACAAGTAACATTTTCTCTTTTGCGCTGCCCCAGCCCAATCTACCATATCTTTAAATAGTAACTAATTATTTAAAACAAGGTTCAAATGATAATTTACTTCTCTAATCTGAGCCTGCTGAATCAGCTCAGGATTCCCACACTGTGGGAAAATCCTTGCTGGTGAAGAGCTGGCATAGCTGGCTCTAAAAAACCCCAGGTGTGGGGAATGAACTGTGGCCAGAGTACGGCTACATTCCAGCTATCTCTATTTGGTGTAAAGACCCTCTGGGGTAGTTACCAACAGGCACATGTGACAACTGCCCTGTACCTGCACTAACTTTCTACAGGGGCAGAACAGATCCCTTTTCAGCCCCACTCTATAGCAGAGGGGTAGTCCCTAGATGGAAAAAGGGCTAAAGGAAGTGTATATCCAACTTTGTCCTTCACTCTTGTCTTGTGCCAAAACACCAGACTTGTGGGTTGGCCCCAGTTAGTGCAAAGAGAGTGTAAAATGGTACCATTCTGATTTGATTGGATTCACCCATCCACTTTGTACAGCTATAAATCAGTGTACAAGGTACAGAAGAATCAGGCCCTGGGATTCTGAAGGGAGGCAATGTCTCCTTGATGTCACAGGAAGTGGAGCCGGTACTCACTCTTGGAAAGACTGTGAGGTCTCTACTGCTCAGATCTAGTGGTTCTAGTTTGCACATCCAGAACAGATGTGTTATCCAGAGAGAAGGGCTCATCAGACTGAAGAGCCCAGGGCAATCTGGTTCCGACCCCAAGGCAAAAATCCCTAAGCCCTCCATCATGTTACCCTATATTTCCCAGTCACTTCCTGTCCCTTCTCTTTCCCCTTCCAGGCATGCCTGCAGTCTCAAAGGTAAAATAAACTCCGTAATTCCTGAGCAGAAAACAGAGAAGGAAGGATCTATAGAAGACTGGTTGTGCACAGAGGTTTAGGAGCTCATTTGCATGTATACCTGACTTTCACATAGAAAAGGGTCAGGATTTGGCCTTAATGAATTTGTGTTATAAAGTTACATAGGATTTACTATGTATTAGAACCACATTATGTTTGTTTGGCAAAACAGGCAGACAAATAAGTCATCCATATGCTACCTAATGTTGTTCTAGAAAATTGGTTGGTTGGTTGCATGTTGTAAAAACAAACAAATATTGACTGGTTTTCAGGGCAAGATTGGTAAACTATTGCCTAAGAGATGTTAAAGTGCCAAGATTATTTTATTCTGCCCTAAACCAAAAGTCTAAGGACATTCATTATCCAAACAGCAAGATGACTGCAGTATTACAAAGGCAACAGTTTGCTTGAAGGTTGAGGTATTTTGTTGAGTGTGTGTGTGATGTTGCTGAGGGAGATAGAATTGGATGGGAAAAAAGTCAGTGTTTGTTTCATTACATTCGCTCTTGTTTTTCACATGGCTAGAAAATGCCTTAGGAAATGCAATTGGATATTTTCTTGTCACACAAAATGTATTCTTGATTCCACTTTATAGTCAACATGTTGTCTACATGCTTTTGTGATCATCAAATAAGAAAAGAACAGAGCACTTCAAGCTTAAACTCGTCTAACTACTGTATTTGAAGAATTTAAAAAAGCCAATTTAAACTCCAATGGATGTAAAGGGCAATAAAAAAATTGTATTAATATAAAAGGATTTCAGTGTTTATACTTATATAATGCATTGTGTCTAACGTAACACATAAAACAAATAAAAACAAAAATACTGTATATGTGTTAGCATTACTGCATCCTTCTATACTTACAGTTTAGTAACTCTCCATAAAAAATGGAAAATGAAGGGCTGAATGTTTCTGAACTTCTCCCCTTGTTACGTACAGATTCTAATTTCTGTGGACTAAAAATCAAACAAACATTAAATCACTACATAATACTTACAAAAACTTTGACAAATGTTCCATTAGCACATATTCAAGTCTATACACTTATAACAGCCACTGCATTATTAATTATTATTCTTATTACTTTTAATATAGGAACCGACCTTGCCACAACCATGAAAGGCACTTACTTTTGGGAACAGTCCAATGCCCAGTAGTGTTTGTACATTTTGGCCCTTTACCTGCTATTTAAAACACACACACACCTAAGCACACATATACAAACAAATCCCGAAAGGTGATAAGCCCTAGCAACTCTCAATAACTTCAACATTGTCCATGTGCAGATGGAATTAAAAGAAGATTTTCAATGACAGAAGAACTTTCATCAGTTCCTAAGATATGTAGCTATTCAGGTGAGAATACTCCCTAAGCATACACGTTTTAAAACAATGGTGAATACACTGTGACGTTAATACAGGATCAAATTCTGCAGTCCCTACTCATGCTATATTCCTACTGAAGTCAATGTGTAATTACTTCAGCATCTGGGCCACAGAACTTACTATGAAGAACTTTCTTATATCATTACACAAACAAAATACAATGAAAATTCTGTATTCAGGATCTCTTTCATGAATTATTTGTACATCTTTACTTTTAGTACTGAGTAAAAGTGTTAGTGCAATAGGCAATTTGAATTTTAGAGCTAACTTTTATTATACTGTACAAAATATATTTTAATTGCACATATTAAAAAAATGTACTTCCTTTATTGTTTTTCCCATTCGTTTTAACTAGCAGTAAATCATAAAATTAAAGGAGGCCTAAAAATACTGAACAATTCTAGAAGCCTCCTGTACTTGATAGTAGTATCTTTAAGGGATTAATATAGATACAAATTTGAAAAGGCAAAAAGAGAAAAAAATCTTTGAAGATCGTTTACCTTCTAGTTTGTCCTGCTCTTTCATGAGCATATTGATAAGAAGCAGAGTAATGCAAAAGGTTTATTATAATAGTAACATGGCTAATATCTTTACCAAGCAACCATATCCCAATTGTTCTTTTCTCTGATTTTATAATCAGAGATATTTTTACCAAGCAACCATATCCCAATTGTTCTTTTCTCTGATTTTATAATCAGAGATATTTTTACTGTAAGTTCCAGTGTTAGAAAGCTGATCAAATAGCAAAAAAACAAAACAAAACAAAAACAGATTCATAAATATTTCCATGAATTAAAGCACTCAGCTCAGTTCATGATGATTTCTTGGCTCATGTGATTTGTAATTTGTTTCTGTTTTTGGACAGCAGACTTCTGTGAAAATGTTTGTGAATCCCAACAACGTCATTAATTTTAGTACAGATAACTACTGGTCTGAAATTCTGCACCAGAAGCATGTTGTTCATTGTTCATTAGTCTCAGGTTCAAAAAGTTTCAGCCATCGAAGAAGAGAAAAAGAGATACTGTGTGACTTAGGTGACCAACTAGATAACACAAATAACAGAACAGTAAGTAGTTAACTGTTCATAAACAAACTATAGCTTGAAAAATATTGATCCAAACCATTAGGTGGAAACTTACAAATAATAAATACATTGGAAGAAAATCAGGATGACTTCATATTCTACAAACCATTCATATTATTATTTTTAATTTGTGCTGCAGTAGTTCCTAGAAGCCCCAGCGATGGACCAGGGTTCAATCGTGTTACGTGCAGTTCAAACTCAGAATAAAAGACAGTCTCTTCCCCAAAGAGTTTACAATCTAAGTAATCTACCCTTGCTTTAACAGCACTGGCAGAGCACCATGGAAATAAATTGGGCTTCCACCCAAACCCTGCTCAGGGTGGCAGTTGTTGGTAGGCTTTTTTCCACCTTGATGTTGTTGAGTTTGAATCCCTCTGGCTCAGCACTGGATCCTTTCCCATCTTTTCCTCCAGTGGAGCAAGGGTCGTATGAGACAAACCATCTGTACCTCCAGCCTTCTTTTTCCCTGCCTTACTGATGGGTTCTTTCAGTGGCATGGCAAATTGGAATTGAATTTTTATTTATTTTTCCAATGAGCATTTGGTAGGCTCAGCTGGGCCAACCATGCTACTTTTCAAGGTAAGTACGTGCTTGTGATTTAAATTAGACCGATTGGGCCAGGTGCACTTGTATAGTTTCACTGCAACTTTTAATTGGGCAAGAGTCCATTACTGAATGGCTCATTATCCTTATTGTGGCCAGAGCTTATCCTAACTCTGAGCACAAAACTGGCAGTGAGTGAGGATGGGTTATGTGGGGAGGCATGGGAAAAGGGATGTTGAGCACAGATTATTACATCCCATTGTCACAGCCCTAGTCTTTGCAAGAATGGACCTGGTGAAGACTAAGTCCGAAAGTTCTGAGGCATAACCTGAATCCCATTTGACTCTGGACATATTTTCAGAGAGCGAAGGAAACAAGGGTCTTCATAAGTTCCTATGAAACGGTTGACTGCTGGGCAGAGAGACGGACATGATTTTGTTTCTGTATTACTAGTTAATAAATAAGTTAATAAAAATTGGGCCAAGCTATTGTAAATCAGTGTAACTTCATTGAAATGTCAATCAGTGTAACTTCATTGAAATCAATAGAACTATGTCAAGTTGCACCCATTCATTTAAACCATGAATTAATGAGTCACATCTTTATTCCAGCCTTGCATTGCTGTGATAATGGTTACATTTCATAAGGCCTGGGCAGACTGACCCTTTAAATCGCTGTTCTTAAATTATAAAAAAATATTTCAGATAGAAAATATTATTGAAAAGCCTTTACTATTACTCACACAGAAAGAAAACACTGTCATGGTGAGGGAGTACTGTGTCCTTTGTTTCCTTGCTTGACTTGGAGTTTTGGTAGCACTTCTTTTAAAAATACAAAAATCTAAAGAAAACTGGAGCTAATTCCTATGGCTGTATTCCATTCCTCTCACAATGACAGCTAATTGCTGGTTTAAAGTACCTCAACGCTTTTGTCTCAGTAACCTTGTCTAATAGTTCCACTCTCCACAATTTTGATTCTATGTGAATATAATGATTCTTGACTGTGACAGGGCATTACTCATAGTTTTACTGATGCAGGGAAGCAATACAAAATCGTTTACATAACCTGCTCTGCTCATATCTTTGCTTATTCAGGAAAAAAAAATAGGTGGTGGGGCTGACATTGTGACTGGAAACAGTTCCTGGAGTTCAATGTGGGGGCACAATTCAGTTTCAAACTATACTAGGACACAGAGATGGTGGAAATGAGGGGAATCTTATTAAGATGTCATCAGATCATAAGAGGGAAAGGCTCGAAATAATTCAGAACTTATGGGATCAACTAACTGTTGGCAAAAATGCAAAAGTTTTTGCAGTCACACTGTTGTGAGCTGATTAGGATTTCTGGTGAGATATGCAGGGTAGAGCATGAGAAAGTAGACAACATATTGCACTTCGCAGAGAGGCTATAAAACTAGATTCTGAAATTTGCTGTGTCTGAGAGGCAAGGAGTAGGAGTGCAGCCTGAAAAATGGGCAGGGCTGGCTATAGTATGGCCAAAGCAGCCAGGAAATACACTGGTTCTGCATATGCCCTTGAGCAACCTCTATCCTAATTAAAACTCTCCTATATAGGAATGCCTATAAAAAACTTCACAATGCTTACGTCAGTAAGATACTGAGACCACAGCCTCTCATGCTGACCAATATTGTCTCACTGCATCCTTGTACTCTCCCAGATCCATATTCATTTGTTTCTTCTTGTCTTATATTTCGTTTGTAAGCTCTCTGGGGCAGGGCATCCACCCATGACTGACCTGCTGCCTGGAATCCTAAGAAAATCAACAAAAAGCCATATTTTCCCCACCTTTGCTAGCCTGCCACTTATCCTGTCTGTCCATGTCAAAAGCAGGAAAAGTGACCATCCTTCACATCTCAGCCCTGAGCAATACAACTGAACTTTTCCTTCCCGCCCAATGAAATAAGAGACTAACTGATCTCCTCTCTTTTAAGAGAGACTTTGATAGGCTTTGGTTATGTTTTTTAAATATGAACATTCAATTTAAACTTAAAAGTATCTTATAATTTGCTTTACCTCCTTTTCTCTTGTATTCTAACCAACAAATTTCCAATTTGTGGCATGCATTTCTTGTGTGTTTGCAACGGAACTACGCAAACCGAAGTCACTGTACCCCAAATCCTGAACCCTGGTAACATTGTCTAATGTTGTACAGTGACTGGGTCATGCTAATACCTTTGACTCTTTATACCCATTTATTCCATCTAAATTAATGGAAAACCACATGGCATCAGAAACAGTGGAGTCACTGTAAAGTACTCAACTGAGACTGGTCTAGGTTTGCTGAATAACAACAGTCTATGGACGATATCTATTGCCTGATTAGTGTGCTCCACTTGGCTTGGTCAAAGAATGTTGAACATGTTATTTTTCCTTTGATGCTGAAAAAGGATTGAGTTAAGTAAATTTGTTTTGAGTAATGTAAATGGAATTTGGGACAGGTTCTCAAAACATAGGGGCAGGTGATGCATTCAGCATCAGCTCCCAGCAGCTGCTTTAACTATTGGGTTTTGTCTCTTTGTATTAGGTAGGGGAACTAAGCAAGGCTGTTTCTGATGTTTAATTTGCTTTGGCCATGGAGCCACTGCCTTCAAGGAGTCATGTCAGCTATGGGGAATGGAAGTTAGAACAGCAAAGAAGTCTGCCCTATATGTGGCTGTGCTTTTATTTTGAAGGGACCCAGTAGTTTCACTTTCAGTACTGGGGCAGAAAGATTGATCTTGAGGTAAAGGCATGGGAATTGGAGCTTGGTGATCCTAGTTGTATTCCCAACTCTGATTCAGACCTTGACAAAATCTCTGTGCCTCTGGTTGCTCTTCTGTTAAACAGAAAGATAATACTTACTCCTCTCATATTCTGAGAGAACACCTCGTTCCTCCAAAAATCTCTCCCTACTTCAAAGAATGTCCATGGAAATAAGCCTGACTAAGTTTGTTGTGAGCTCCATTATATAACTGTCTACATTTAAGAATACAAAAGCCTGGATTTTTTTTCCCATAGCTTTCCCTTTATTAAGGAAAATAACTGATAAGAAAAAGTTCTTACCTGTCAATTGTGTTGGTGAATTCCAAAGGCAAAGTAACTATCCTGTTGACTAAAGATATTCTGCTCAATAAGTAGAATACAATTTGTGATCCTTGTATGCCATCAGCATTATGGTCTAGTCCATATTTCTTTCCAATTTGTCCTTGGCCTGCAGTGATGTACTTGTCTGACAAATCTAGCACTTTTCTGGAAAACAAGTTAATTGGCCTATGTTCTTCCACCACACCACAGTGATTACAATTCCATCCTGGCAGCATTAGTGATATGTGATTTCCATTTGATACTAGTCCAAAAGAAACTGGACATTGAAGTCTGAAGAGATCTAAATATCTAACACAGTGATTGTCTAATTCTTTATCCACACCCCATGGTAAGAGACATGACAAAAGCAGTTTAACTGTGTCTGTGGTGACGTTAGCATCGATTTTTCCTGATGGCTGCAGTCTAATCTTTTTTGAACTCTTCATTTTTTTATGTCTTTTGATGCCACCAATTTCTTCCAAAGACCTCGCTGCATTATTATCCCTATGGACCTTTTTTTCACAAGCATTTTTTACTTGCCCATCCATTGGGAAGAGAGAGCCAGCAGTTTTATTTCTTTTCAACAGTAGTGTCCTTTTCTCTGCTGTGCTTTTGGCTCTTTTTAAAATGTCATAACTGTGGAATGAATTTGATGATTTCAGTCCACTGAGTTGAGATGACAGTAAAAGTTCTACAAGATTTTCCAGATCAAATAAGAGAACATGAAAGCTTATGTTGTTCCATTTTGTCTTTACTGGTAAGATAGTAAAAGGCCGTTGGACATGGCTGGTACCAGTTTGCTGAAATAAAAAAGTTATGTATTAAATGTCAAAATCAAATCCACAGTTACATAAAACTTTACCTAGTTCTAAGCTTAGAGTTGCATATGGAATAGGCCAGATTCATTCCTTGTTTAACTCCACTGATTTCAACTAATCTACACTTATTTATTATGTATTCACAGCAGCATGACTATGTACTAGGCACTTTCCAAATGGTAAGCACAAAAATAAATGCCTGCTCTGAGTAACTTACTAGACAGGTAAGTAGAGAGAAGCAAGGAAAAGAGGACTAGGAACCATAGACAATTACAGGCAATGTTGTTAGTGACGGCTACATTTAAGGGTGCCTAACCCTTTCCATATAAGATCCTGTATTCACTTGGTTATAACTCTACCAAACTTTTACCATTTGGTCTGAAATTTTCTCTGCTGCCTCAGGCTGAATTTTTTTGGAACATTTCAACAAAAACATTTCAGCTGCTTCCAAGAACACACTTAGGGGAAAGTACATTTTTTCCCATGCAGAAAAAGTCTTACAATGATTTTCACTGAGAAGCTCTAGCACCTCCCGGCTTTGGAGCAGGGACTAAAAATTTGTCAGGGATGTGTGTTTTGCCATCCATGTAAAAATCCAGTCAAATCTGGACAAGGTATAAGCCTATGAAAATATCATGACACACATCTCAGTACAGGTTTGTGAGGGTATGTCTACATTGTGAAGTAAGCGTGGGCTTAAGCTTGGGCTCAAGCCTAACCCAGAGCTTGGACACAGGGTCCCAAGACCCTACAGCGCTGCAGGGTCTGAGCATGAATCAAGCTGGGACCCAGGTTCCAAGCCCTATTGCTTTGCAGTGTAGATGCAGCCCTGCTTGAGTCATACTGGGAGGCTGCCAGAAGTATTCCACAATTCTATGGGGCAATTTCCTTAGTCCTCTCTATCCCAACAATCTCCAATAGACTCTACTGAAAACAGAAGCCACACACACACCCTTGGCATAAGGCACCAGCTCAAGTCAGTGTTAACCCATTCTCTTCTGATCCCCAAGCTAAAAGCCCAGCATCAGAGAGCTTCCTGGATTTGCAATGGAGACCAAACAGAGCAAGCCTTTTGCAAAGCATGCTACTTCATGGTCATGGGAGCCCAGCAAATTTTGGTGAATCTCTGGTGCAAGGCCAGTAAAACTGTCGACTTCAGCAAAAAGCACCAGGAATGACCATGCATACCACCAGAGAACTAAAAATATGAATGAGCTAAATATGAGAGCTAAAAATGACCACTCATACCACCAGAGAGCTTGCAGCTTTGCAGATTTTCCAGACAGGTGATCAGCGCAGGGAGTATATTAAGAGGCTGAAGAGTGAGTACCGGAAGGCCAGGGACAAGAACTAGCACCCCAGACAACTTGCCAATGACATGCCCATTTTATGAGTTTGACCAGGTCCTGGGCACTGTGCCCAGCACAGAGCCAACTGTGCTTCCTGACGACCTGGTCAGTCAGGATGGTGCCCTACTAGCTGCTGAAGCCACTGTGGGGACTGATGGGAGCCAGAAGCAGGTTCCAAGTGAGGTGCATGAAGTGACTTCATTCATGTAGCCAGCCCCAGGATCAATCAGGATCAATAGTAAATTTTAGGTCCCTACTCGGAAGAGCTGTTTGTTCCACCCCTGGCAGAACAGTCTGGCTCTGAGCTTGCAGCAAGCCCAACGGAGACAGAAGCCGTCCCAGAGCCTGGTCAGTTTATGATTCCAATACAGTTTATTATTACAGTAATGGGAGGGATTTCTGCTCTAAGAAACAATACAAAAGTTATGATAAGCCCTGGCTACCAACGTGTGTCCAAAATGGTAAATTGTATCACAAAGCCTCGGCATCCTCCTGCCCCCTACCCTTCCCTGTGCCAGAGAGGAGGAAAGAGGAAGAGTTCTGCATGTTTGTGTGCAGCAATAACAGGGGAAGCCCTGTGTGAACTAACACAGCTTCTTCTTAATTCCCTCATGGATTCTGACCCAGTCCTGGTTGCTGATAGCTGCAAACTTTTCCTGCTGCAGGAACTCAAGATAATTAGTCACACTGCTGGGAAGGGCATATTTTCCAGGCTCCCTCTATAGAAGACAAGCCCACTCCACTAACAGATGTGCTGTTCTGTCACCAGATGTACTGCTGCTGCACACACCGCAGGATTCCCACCAGCAGCTTGGAATAATATTTCCCTTTACCGATAGGGCACCACAGGAACAGCTGTGTCCTCCAAAATGCAAAATGACAGAAAAAGCCTTTTGCAGCAAGGGCACTCTCCGCACTCACCCCTACCTATAAAAAATTCCTAACTAACTGGCATAAGGAAGAAAAAAAGGTTGTAATTTTAACCTTACAATTGTCCCTGAACTTCTAGAACTGTGTCCAGAGAGAGTATGTGGACGGAAGCATTCCCTTCAAATATATGTTGTTTTTTTAGAAGTGTAAATATTCAGTGCTCCTCTGTTGAACTACGTTTGACAATAACCCTCTGTTTCTGATCCTGTTTCTGGTCCCTCAACCTCTACTGCCTGCTCTTCATCAGAAACTTGATCCCTGGCCCAATGTAGTTTCACAGACCGTTGCAAAAAGAAGCATTTTCGTGATGAAGTTATGGTCAGTGTTCTTGAGAGGGCTGACCAGCAGGTCCTATACCAGAAGCAGAGGGGTAAAAAACAGGAGCAATGGTACGCTGACAGGCAGGAGGAAAGGGTGAGGCTTGTCACCCAGGTGAGGTACAGGGTTTTAACAGCAGTTCCTGGAACAGAAACGGGGCTAAGGGTGGAGGACAGAGCTCAACAGAGAGAACTGTTTTGGCAACTCATGTCCATCATGGCTGCAAAAGCACCATCTCCTGATGCCATCCCCCACACCACAGCCTGATGCCCCTGCAAAGTACGCTCAAGCATGCGGTAGCTTGGACAACTCCATGTCTGGGCGGCCTGTGCATTCAGGTCTCTTGAACAGCTGGGCAGAGCAACTAAATACCATGAAGCCTTCCTTCTTCAACATCTCTCCTATGGATACTTCCACTTCCCCCATCCCCAGCACCAAGTGAGCAGAAAACAGGGAAAGAAGGGAAAAAGAGAACATGGGGCACAGTTGGGTTTGCATGGTTTCGATCACTTTTTTTTTTTTTTTTTTTTTGCTTCTGGTGCTTGTTTTGGGGGTGTGGCAATAGTAGCTGGCCTGTCCAGCACTGGGTGACTGTTGTACTGTTTTAATACCTGTTTACAAATAAAGCCTTGTAGGTCTTCAGGAAAGATTACTGCTATCACTGCATCACATGACACAATCATGATTTCAGATATACTGTTAGAGGCCGGCAGCATTATTCCTTGATGACCATCTACACTGAACATACTCCATCCCCACACATAGCTCCTATGTGCTATCCCCACAGAGCAACTGTGCATACCGCCTTCAGTAAAAAAGGAGAAACAAAAACACATGCATGCTCCAAGACAACCAGTTCATGGACACATTCCACCACCCAAGAGGTGGAAGTCCAGAAAGAGTTTTGCGTCTGGAAATCCTTTACCCCAAAATACCACCACAGAAGGCTAATGCGTAACAAAATGGTGAGAAATGCAAATGATCTTGGAGAACCTGGTTCCTTCTGAAAACTCCCCCAGGCACAGACTATGAACAAAAACAATGATGTACTCTAAATCGAGCTGGGATGGAAAGACTGGTAACAATATGACCACGTAGAAGCTGAGGAATGACCTTTGAAAGTGGAGTGTCAGGGCAAACACTTCCACACTGTCTGATGCCGTTTTCTCTGTCAACATCCTATATCTCCAGATAACTATTTGAAATAAGTGACAACACCTGGTCTGGCTGCGGTTTTGGAATGACAAACTATGATGATGAGAAGATAATAGGATAACTGGTAGAAGTAAAAAGAAAAGGAGTACTTGTGGCACCTTAGAGACTAACCAATTTATTTGAGCATAAGCTTTCGTGAGCTACACGAAAGCTTATGCTCAAATAAATTGGTTAGTCTCTAAGGTGCCACAAGTACTCCTTTTCTTTTTGCGAATACAGACTAACACGGCGGTTACTCTGAAACCTGGTAGAAGTAGTAGGTGGCAGAGGTCTGTGTGGTTTATCTATAGGTCAACCTTGCTGATGACTCATGTGGAGGTCCACGTAATAGAAATTCTGTTTTTTCAATGTGCTTTTTTAAAAAAGAAACATGTACGAAATTCTATTAAAACCCCGCCCCCAAACCCTAACCTATGTTAAAAGAGCATTAAGGTTGCAAAATCAAGTGGACAACAACAGTTCCCCGCCACCCCTTCCCACATCATGCATGAATGCACTAGGATACAGTCTTTAATTACATAACCATATACTATTTCCCCCCCCCAAAAGGACCCCTGTCTCATTCATCACCCTCCCGTCCAATGTGTATCTGAGGTTACTAGAAAGGATCTTTAGAGGACATGGGCTGCGATGTATTCAATGTGCTGAGGAGCCCCAGCTCTATATTTCTATCAGTTATAAGCCAGTTGATACAGTGGAAAAATTGTCCCAAAAGTGCAGAGTTTGGAAGGGGCCTAGCTGTCTGCAACTCATTCCAGGTAAGATGGAGACAAGGTTTGTGTATGGAGGGAAAGATAGAAGAGACGGGAAGATTGATAACTGGAACCTCTATCTGAGGCAGTGCAACATGACATTTGAAGATCTTGGGCTCCTCATGGATGATCAGGGTAGCAGCTATAGCCCAGAACACTTTTGTTCATCTGAGCCTAGTGAGAATATCGAGATTCACTCTCTCTGATGTGGCCCTTGCTATCCAGGCTTTTTCATCTAATTTAAATTGTATTCAAGGTGAGTTCTACACACCATCATTTTAGCTCCACTTATTGTGATATTATTAATGTGATATTATTATCCCAGCACAACTATCTCCTACCCACAATTACTGTTAATGAATAGCCAACAAAAATTGTAAGTCTTCTTTTAAAAAACTGACAGAACTGCAGATTTGGG